ATTAATACTTTAACCCTGTTTATATAAATATAATTGTTACTCAAATTATAAGACAATTAGCACTGTGAATTAGTTTGGGTCTAAATTTCATGGTTATACTTTTTTTGGTTTTGCTTCTCTAACATGACAATAAGTTTGGTACTTGTACCTATAAACTTAATAGTTTATGTAACATAACATAATTGAGCCTTGTCACGACAAAACCAACATAGTGCGTTTGTGACCAGCATGGATCCAGACCAGCCTGCGCATCCGTGCAGTCTGATCAGGATCCATGCTGTTCGCTTACCAACCCTATTACAAGGAGAGAAACTGATAGGGAACAGCATGGATCCTGATCAGACTGCGCGGATGCAAAGCTGGTCTGGATCCATGCTGGTCGCAAACGCACTATGTTGGTTTTGTCATGACGCAGCTCATATATATAATTAAGATCCATCACCCTGCTTCTACACTTAATACTCCTGAATCATTTATACCATGAACTCTTAACATGCTGAATATTTTAAATGGACTTGTCAAACTTCCATTTTTGGGACTGTTCTTTATCAGCCAACAGTATAGAGCCTGGTCAGACTGCACTGATGTGCAGGCTGGCCTGGGCCTATACTGGTGGCAAAGGCTTAAATTAATGCTTTCAGTCCCAGCACTTTAAGGGTTAACATACAATATACATAAAACAATTGTAATCTAATACAGTCTCACAATACTCAATTACAATACTTATTTAATAGTGTAATTACACACAATTAAAATTTCATGTAACACCTAAATGAACAATTATTTTTTAATTTCATGTAACATTCTATTACTAAGATATCATGTTACAACTAAATGAACAATCATTTATACAATTATGTATACAAACTTAACAATTCACAATCTCATTTCACTGTATATCAAATATCATAAACATATTAATACATATCTAGATAACAATATATTGTACATGCATGTTTGTTTGGGTTTTACGTCACAACAACACAGTATGGGTCATATGGGACTTTCCAGTTTTACTGGTGGAAGAAGACCTCAGGTGCCCTTCCATGCATTATTTCAGACAAAAACAGACACTGGAGTACATGCATGTAAAACACCTATATCATATATTTCTAAGAATTTGAGATAGATCACATTTATCACAAACACCATATATTCTTGCATGTGAAATGTAAAAACTAACCTTTAAATTATCGTGTCTTTAGTAAAAGATGGTTAATTACTTAAACTAATGTATTTTCAGCAATCAATTATGTTCACTGGTTAAACACATCTTGACAAACTTTTATAACTGAAAAAAAAAAGATCCATAAAATTAACAGCATGCTATTTGCTGACAGTACATTAAATTTTAACAATCAGTTAACATGTATAATTTGAATTAAACTAAACAGTAATACATTTGTACCTGATTGATGCATGTAAAGAAATGAACTGCAAGGACTTGATATAAAAAACAAAAAAACATGCATATTTTTTTCAGCTCTTGAATAAGGTTGAAAATCATTTATCATACAAAATAACATGACTTGCAATTCAGTTTCACATCAAAAACTTTACCAAGGAAACATTCAAACATCAACATAAAAATACAGTCAACCCTCCCTACAGAGACCATACTGTGCCAGTTATAATGTGGCCTTTACTGACAGGGTGGCAGATATTCACACATTTTTTTTATTGCATAGCAACATAACAATTGAAAATAAGATTAAATTCTTTACATACAGATGGTTTCTATTCACTTGTGGATATTAACACAAGTTTTACTGTACTTTATTTCAAATAAATGTTTTACTGTACTTTATGCCATACAAAAATGTTACTGTACTTACAATTCCATACAAATTGCAATAAATTACAACTAATAAAGGGAGGTAAGACTCTTATATTACATTCAAATAATTATTTTTCAACTTTTGCAATAAATATACAAAGTTCTGGTCTTAAAACTATCAGGATTAGTACAGAGTAACCTGTACAGAAGTCACAAATCAGGGTCTGTTACTCTTAATGGATTCCCTTAATTATTCACAGACAGAAAATGTTTGTACATTTCATAATCAAATTTAAACTATTTATAAACTTTCTATTATCATGAACATAGAGTCACCTTTGTTAAAACTAATTTAAATCTTACATCCCTACATGCTCACACTCAAATTTTCTTTCTCTGTAAAAAATTAAACAAACAATAAACAAAAATTAAATACTTATGGACCTTTTAATTTCGAGGTATTATCTCATCTTTTCCTTTCATGTAAAGCATAAAAAACTTATTCTGGCTAAAACAAAATGATTTCAATATTAACAGATATCTGAATAAAAAAAACCAATCAAAACATTAAGTTTATAAAATAAAATACAACCATATACGTTGTACTGGTGTTCAAACTGAGCAAAATAAAATATTGTAAACCCTAACACATTTTAACACTGTATTAAATGTAACTAGTTGGTACTTTTACCCTGTCTCTTATTATAATTATATAAAAAAATCCTGTTTTCAATTTTCCGTATAATTTGTATTGCACTTGGAATAAAAAATTTCAGTTGTTATGCATTTATGCAATAAAGAAGATCAATAATAATAACACCAAATAAACTTGAGCTTCAAAAAAAGTTAGTTTTATTTAGTTTATACTCTACAATTAAAAGTTACAAGCAGGTTTTGTATTGAAATACTTTTGATATGAATAAATTCTATTCAGTCTATAATCATTAAGTCTTCTTCACTGCCAGAATCTTGTTTATTTCAGCCTGAACATCTCCAGGTACTGGTGCATCTTTTGATACCTCCTCTTCATGTTTATGAACTTCCTGCTCATGTTTCAATTCTTCAAGAAGAGCATGCTCCTCTGCTTCCTTAGCATGGTGAGCAAGGTAATCTGCCTCATATGCTTCTCTCTGCTCCTCAGACATTATATAACTGTATAATATAGACCAAATAAACTTAGACATTATATAACAAGATATGTTTGTAAAACATGTATGCCCCCTATCAACAGTCAATTAGTCATGTGGCCAGGTTATTATGACTGACTTTTGACCTAGTGACCAAAAAATCAATAGGGGTTATCTACTGGTCATGAATAGTCACTAGGTCATTGTGACCGTAAAGGTTGTGTGCAGCAATTTTATGACAAAGTTATCACAAATCTTACCAAATAATATATGCATAACTTTTATAAATCATGTAGGTCTCTTTAATGACAGCTAATTTGTTACATTACATAAGACCTTGAAATGTGTATACCAAAACCTTTTTAGTTTAATAAAAAATATCAACCAAGGCAACTTCAGTTGTTGAGTAATTGGTCGGAAACCTTTTTTATGTATATGGTCAATGTGACTTTGACACTTAAATCAATAGGGCTTTTCTACTGGCCTAGACCAAGGCACCTGTGAAGCTATAAGGTAAAGGGCCCATGAGATAATGAGATATTGATCAGAAACTGTTTTTACCTACAAGGTCAATATGACCTTAACCTTTGACCCCTTGTCCCCAAAATCAATCAGGGTCATCTACAGGCCAAGACCAATGCACCTGTGAAGTTTGAATGTCAAAGTCCCATGAGTTGTTGTGTTATTAATTGGAAAACATTTTGACATTTGACCCAAAGACCCCAAAAGCAATAGGGGTCATCTTCCGATCAAGAACAATCCCCATACCAACTTTGAAGTTCCCAGGCCTAAGCATTCTTTAGTTATTGATCGGAAACCATTTGGTCTATGGACCGACCGACCGACAGACAGACAAATGCAAAGCAATATACCCCCACTTCTTTGAAGGGGGGCATAATTATAGTTACTCCACAGACATTTAATAAATACATTATATATACAAAAAATACTTCTATCTGCTCCTCAGAGATTATATAACTGTATAATATTAACAAAATACACTTCTAAATGTATGTACTCCTCTAATGTAATTCAATTGTATTCTATAAATAGAATGTGTTTCTTTCTGCTCCTTAGATAATAAATTTTATAAATAAAAACAATGGACAGGGTATCAGTTTTACTCCAGGTATTATTTTAAACATCATGACAAAAAAGAAAGCTTTCCGTGTAGAATATCTCTGTACATTGCTTCAGACATAAAGGGAAACCTGGGTAGAACCAACAATTTATAATAAAGCCAGCTGGATATATTTTACAGGAAAAATGAACAGCACTAGCATCTGTTTGATAAAAAAACAACACTTACTAGAAATTGACAAATCTACTGCCCTGAATGGCTTGAGCTGATGCATTGGTAAAATGACAGGAAAACAGCAGTAAATTTCTAGGCTGTACTTTGATGGCAAACCTCATAAACAGGCAGGAATAGAAAAATAGAGCTGTAAAACAGATAAACATTAGTGTATTTTACAAACATGTATACAAATACAAATACAACACATTTATAAAGCGCAAAAATGTATTAAATATTCGATTGCGCTGTACAGTATTAAGACTATATACACATATGCTTGATCATGACACTCCGAAACCCAGTCTCGATGGCACAGCCAATCTACAACTCTAGTTGAAAAACAGTCCAAACAAGTATGTTTTAAGTTTGGCCTTAAACTGATTTTCATTGGTAATGTCCTTCAGATAGTCTGGCAATGAATTTCACCATTTAGGTCCCACAATAGCCAAAGATCTATCAGCAAGTTTTGAATTTGTTGATGGTATATCAAACCGAATGTGGCTAGATGACGAGGATCTCAGTCTTTTCCTATACTGACTCTGGCATTTAGTGAACAATTCACGAAGATATAATGGAGCGGTGCCATTTACAACACGAAACACAGTCACAATAACTTTGTACATGATTCTAGCTCGAATTGGAAGCCAGTGGAGTGATTTAAGAATTTCAGCACTGGATTGATAGTAAGTAGCTCCAGTGACAATTCTAGCAGCATGCATTACAGAGAGTTTCTAAAAAAGCTTTTCAAGATTCCTACTCAATCTGTACAATTTATTATTTGTCAGTTATCATGTAAAAGAAATGTTTACAAGTAAAATATTGTTTAAACTAAATATGTATACAGACAACAAATAACATTACAAAACAACAAGTTCACATAATATACATGTAGTTTCTTTACTCTTACCACGCTATCTATCTTCAGTCTGAGCAAAACTATTTACTGTTTTAGTGAAAATTTTACAATATGTACTGACTGGATAGCAAGCAATGCAGACCATCATCAGTTGATCTTGGTCAGCATTGGTCACATAAGTAGAATCTGTTGCCACCAACAGGGAGGGTTAGAGTTAACAAAAGAACAAACACATACAGTTAACACTCATTTGTTCATAACATATTTTTCTTTCAGAATAAAGTCCCTTCACCTACAACTGTATCTTGTCATGACAAACAAGTATTCCAAGTTCCATGTTGATACCATTTATAGTTAGGAAATCATTCTACTTTATAGGCAATTTTGACAAAAATTCAATGTTAATAGGGGCATTATTCATAAAGTTTGCATTCAAAATTATACCCCTTGTCTAACAATGTTACGTAAGTACTCCAAGATTTGTATTGATACCTTTAAAATTGTTTGAGAAATGGGCTACAGTAATGTTCTTGCACTACGACACAGTGATTAAAATAGCTGAACATTTTTTACATTGCTAATATACCTTTAACCTAAAATTCAGATAAGGTCATGTACATCATATTACAAATTCTGAACCAGTGCTTGCCCGGTCTTCCCTAATCAATGTCAATTTCCTTGATCAGATCTTAGAAGCAAGCAGTATATAACATGAAGTCTTCAAATTTATGTGACTAGATTCTTATATTAGACCTTTATAATCATCATTTTAGTTTATAAAAGCATTTGGTTTAAAAATTTCAAGCTACTTATTCAGATTTCTCATTCTTTTATTTTGTAATCTAATTCTTACATTGGTCAACTTCCTTGCTATTCAAACAAACAGAAATGTGTGTCCTCTTGCAATATATATTTACGAATACACAATTTATATATTTTCAAAATTTGCAGACAAGAACATTGGCACATAATCATGATATCAAGTATGAAATATTCTTTTAAAAAAAGTTAGAGACACCTAGCTTTTATCAAACCAATCTTTTTTCACACCTTGTATATCATATGACAAATTTTGGTGAAACTTAATTCTTTACAGGGACACTATGCCGATCCAAGTGTAAATTGTTAGTGAACAGGTAAAAATCAAACTAACTCAAGACATATTACCTTAATTGTCTTCAGTTTTATATCTTACTATGAAAAAAATATCAAAATTTCATGTGAACAAAAGAAATATCTATAAATAAGGCTTTTCATAATTTTAATAAAGGCAGTCTCGAATGTATTGTATCATTCACAAAATTCAGTATCAATTATTGGTATAGCCAATCTTTTAAAATATATATTACAAATTCGACTCCTCTTGACAGCGAAAAAATGAGCATAATGTCATTTTAAGGACGTTTTCGGGAGTTTTCATATAGGCATATAGGCAAAATTTAAACTGTTCTATAGAATTTTTTTAACTTGGCATTTTGTTAGTATATGATAACAGAAACATTTTAAAGCAAAAATAAATTGGGGTCACCGTTCTCGTTTTTGAGTTATCTGCCCCTGAATCAGAATTTTCGACTCATTTGAGGTCATTTAAAGGGCAGATAACTTATAAGTACGTAAATAAATTCTTGTTTTTACTTCTGGATAATGTTTTTCTTTTTATTGTTGAATACATTACATAATAACATGCAATGCCTTAAATCGTTTCTGTTAATTTTTTTCAATGAAAACTAGAACTGCCACTGTCATGGCGTGAATACCCCCGCATACCACTTTGAGAATGAAGTGAATCAACAGTGGCCATTTAGAACTCAAGGACAACCACCCTGCCAAATCTGAGGTTACTAAGCCAGTGCATTGCTAAGATATGTATTCTCCATGCTTCAAATGTGAAAATTTTACAATCAAGTTTTTTTAGTCAAGGCCCGTGACCTTGACCTTTGACCCAGTGACCTCAAAATAAATAGGGGTCATCTACTAATCATGACTAACCTCCATGCCATATATGAAGACTGTGGGTCAAAGGAATCTCAAGTTATTGGGCGGACAAGGTTTTTTTAGTCAAGGCTCCTGTGACCTTGACCTTTGACCTCAAAATCAATAGGAGTCATCTACTAATCATGACTAACCTCCATGCCAAATATGAAGACTGTCGGCCAAAGGAATCTCAAGTTATTGGGCGGACAAGCTTTTTAAAGTCAAGGCCCCTGTGACCTTGACCTTTGACCCAGTGACCCCAAAATCAAAAGGGGTCATCTACTAATCATGACTAACCTCCATGCCAAAAATGAAGACTGTGGGTCAAAGGAATCTCAAGTTATTTGGCGGACAAGGAAAAACCGACGGACGGGGAGACGTCCGGACGTTCTAACAGGAGAGTAATAATGTGGCTACTCTATTGTTCTCTCTATTGTTCTTTTCAGCCACACAAAAGAAAATAGCCACATAAAAGCATTACGGAATGAATGACATCAAAGAGAAAGAACAGTTACCTATTGTCCCTCTAGCCACATAATTACTGTCCTGTGAGTGCTGACAGACAAGCTGATTCCAGTAAACCCCCCTTACAAATTCGTTGTGCGGGGGTATAATTAAGGTACTTTAAATTCATAAAAAATAGGCCAATTTTTAAGAAAAAATGCACAGGTTAAGAGAAGAAGTGGTGAAAAAAACTATACACTTGAAACTTGTTCTTGAAATTTTGCATATTGACTAAGACAAATGTACGCTGCATGAAAATACGAAGAAAAAATGTATTGTTTTGCTTCATTGTAAATTACCTGCCCTTGAATATAACGAAAAATTTCAATTCAAGGGCAGATAACTCGAAAATGAGAACGGTGACCCAAAAAATTTTTCCGTTTAAAATGTTTCTGTTAACATATTCTTATAACATGCCAAGTTTAAAGAAATTCTATTGAACAGTTTTAATTATGCCTATATGTCTTCATGAAAACTCTGAAAACGTCTTTAAGTACTATTAGTAATAATAAGTGACATTATCGCACTAATATATAGCTACATGTATAAGCCAGTCTACACAGACATACATGTACATGTCTGATCAGTCCTTGTACTGTTGGCTGCTGAATTTTTGTACTGAATGGGTAATGCTTATATCACACTACTGTTGAGTTATACCCTTAACCTTTTACCACATGAGCATATTGTGAAAAATGGCCGTTTTCACTGAAAAGCCTCCTGTTACAAGTTCAAACTGCTATAAAACTATGAAAAATGCTTCAATACGGATGAAACTTGGCACAAATGTTGATTGAACCATAACATCTGTAACAGCATGCTCAATCTTAAATTTACCTGTTACCATAGCAATGGGGGATGTCTCAAAATAGCGAAAAATCACTGTTTTGCATTGTTTATTCAATTAAAACTGATTTCAAAGTGCTGCAACTACTCAATGCATTGAGATAGAGTAAAATGCTTTTCAGCGTTGATTATAGTTACCTTAAGATCGACCTGATGCCATTTTTAGCCTGTCACATGTCCAAAATTTTCTTGGCGATGAGGGGGACTGTTGCTCTCCTTCAAATCCCCCAAACAGAAGGGGCAAATCCCCCTTCTGGCAACCCCCTGATGTATCATTTTGATGGGGGGGGGGCATGTTGAAAAAGTGATCACTTTCTCAAACGAAAAACAGTGTTTGGGGCTTAAATAGGGTTTTCACTGTTTGCGGCCTCAAAAAGGGAGGGAGGGGGGGGACAAAAAGCTGTCAAAACACGTCTATATGAGGGAAAAGGTTAAAGAAACAAGTCTTTAGAGTTGAAATACTAACCAGTAGTCATTTTCCCACTAATTTTCTCTGGATCTTTCTTCATATCAGCTATGGCAGCCAAGGGGAGTCCCCAATTTGCAACTGGTCCCCAAAAATGCTAAAAGATAATGATTAATAGCAATGTTAGTGTAATAGGACGAGAAATATATAACTGTATTTAGTTGTGTTCAATCCTGTCATATTCTAACAAGAGCCGGTTGAACCGGGTGATGCTCCCCGAATAGGATTTGAACACAGGAAGGTGTACCACTTGTAGTGTCAAAGTAATGTCACAGACAAAGTTCAAAGTGTAAAAACAACCCAAATGTTGCGTGCAACATGTTGTCTCAATATGGTGATCATTTCCGTGAAATAGTTATAACATCCGACTTCAAATAACAAAGTTATGGGCCGGTAACAATTTTGCTGCAAGGTCATGCTGTGACCTTGACCTTCAAGGTAGCGACCCAAATGTTGCGTTCAACATGTCGGCTCAATATGGTGATCATTTCTGTGAAATAGTTTTAAAATGCGACTTCAAATAACAAAGTTATGGGCCGGACGGGATTTTGCTGCGAGGTCATGCTTTGACCTTGACCTTCAAGGTAGGGACCCAAATGTTGCGTGCGACATGTCGTCTCAATATAGTGATCATTTCTGTGAAATAGTTGTTACTAACTTGTCACCCGTAGCTAGATATCCTATGTCGGAGTGTTTTGTGTGATGCTTCATTGCACTTAACATTTTGTCATAGCATATGTATTGTCCAACAATATTGACCTGGCACTTCATTAATTTTCGTAAAGGTCATTAGATAAACATTGACCATTACCTATCGAATATATCGATATTTTTGCTAACTTCACTCGTCAGTGAGGTGTGGTGTATTGGTAAAGATGTCGGACTACAGATCTGAAGGTCTCTGGTTCGATACCTAACCAACACCACGTTATGATTTTTTTGAAATTTAATTGCAAGAATTAATTTGAAATCGTTTTACTACACCTGGTTTTAGAATACCTTTTTAAGTGGTGTTTTTATGCACAATAATGTCTTTTATTTCATTACGGTATCTTTCAACGGTTCTTTTTGTGACATGCAATCGTATATGCTTAAGCGCATACATGCTATAAAGACATTTATTAAAAATTCTACATAGATAGTACACACAATAAAAAGATTTCCAATAGTTTAAAGAGAATGGCAATTTCAAAATTAAGATAAAAAATAAATCGCTGAAATAGGATTCGAACCTACCAGTTTACGTATACAACTCTTTACCAACTGCGCTAAGAGGGCATTTTATTTAACATCATTTTAACAATTGGATATTTACACTCATATCGCTTTACAAGTAGATCGTAACGTTTACGGAATATACCGACTACAGGGTCAAATGCAAGAGTGCCAGGTCAATGTTGTTGGACAATATGTTTATTATAAATATTTGTTATACATAAATATCTTGGATATTTACAGGTGTTGTGTCTTGTCTTATATACATGAACCATATAAAATAACTGCTGACTGGGCTATGTCGACATAAGGCATTATTTTACAGAATAGTAAAGATTTAAAATGAAATACATAAAAATGCTGGCAATAACTTATTTCTTTATTATAACTCAACAAAACCACCTTATTTTGCAATATTTATCTTAGCTTGTAACTTGTAAGCATTTTACTTAAACTTACTTTAATCAACTTAAACTACACTACATTGTATTATAAAAATAATACTTACTGTACTGTAACCGGCAAAAATCCAAAACAGCAGGATATGAAAGAGAGAGAAAGAAAGAGTAAAATTGAAAATTATAAAGTGCTTAACAATGCTTTTTGTAATTTAAAATGTATTAGCAAAAATGCTGCAAAATATGTTTTGAATATAATGAGCAATTTATTTAATAAATATGAAATAGCTTTGCGTGCCTATATGTAGAATTAATATTTCAGTTCCAGACTGAGAATTTGCATAGTTCAATTGCTTGCATCTTAGAAAAGTGCAAAGTTCTTCATCATATTATATAATTATGAACATTATCAATGTGTTTTGATCATTTTCCAGATTAATAATGATAATAATTGAGCCTTTCAACTTGTGGAGGAAAAGTGGTGTAACTCAGAGGCCATGGGTTCAAAATCAAACTGTGAGATCCTCTTGTGATTTCCTTAATCCACATGTACTGGTGAAAAGTTAGTAGTTACCACAACCAAGAAATAGTTATCAAGGGTGACTTGAAGCACATGTTTATGTCTCTTAAAATTAGTTTCCCAAACAATAGGGAAATCAAATTAATTTATAATCAATAATGGGTTTTTTGTGTGAATATATCTTGATTTTAATTAGATAAAACATACTATAAGGAACCCCAAATATGAGTTATATTTTTATATTACATAATGCATATTTTTGTACATTTTTGTACCTATATTTTACTTGTTTGATGTCTGTCATGCAAGTTAACTGTATGTTGGCCTGGCTTCTCCATAGTGGACAAACAGTCTAAAACAATTCTTTATGTTTCTTCAGCAATTCCTCTTAGTATAACCTTAGCAAACAAACTACAAAATATTTTTACAAAACCATTCTATGTTTACTTTTATCAAAAACACAATAACCTACTAATACCAATCACACATCAGTAGGTACCACCAGCACAGTTACTATTTAACGTTCACTCTCACTGTTGTATATTAATGTATATTCTTTTTATTTTTGTAAACTCATATATTTGTAATATAACTTTCAATTTTTATTATTTGTTTGTATTTAATTTAAAAACATTATGTATAAAACCTTCGCATATCTTACTTTGTTCAAACTTTGGGGTCAAAGTTCTCGAAGCCGAGGGGAATTATAAGGAACCCCAAATATGAGTTATATTTTTATATTACATAATGCATATTTTTGTACATTTTTGTACCTATATTTTACTTGTTTGTATTTTCAAATTTAAAACCTTAAAATAACATGTATTTTTACAGTAATTACTTCTTCAAACTTTGGGATAGAAACCATCATTCTTAACATGTCAAACATACTTAAGATGTTGTTAAATCAACACATTTTGCTTAAGCCTAGGAAGCACTTTAGGTCTTTTTAGCACTTTTCTTTGTTTAACAGATGAACTGTTTTTTATAGAGTAAATACAAACAAATACAGAATAATAGTTGAGTAAAATATCACAGCTTTATTTCCTTCTTAGTTTTTAACATTTATAACTTCAAAGTGAAAACCCATTAATAAATTAATTCTACTTTTCAAACAATTCCAAAACATACCTATAAAATAGACAGTTTAAGGTTGGACAGTCATAATTTCTTGAACTGTCAATAAAGGATATATTTTGACTTATACTGTCTATGTGTATTTCTACAGGTATGTTAAACTTTATTTTATATTTTAACTCATGTTAAACTTTATTTTATATTTTAACTCTTTTTCTAAAATCTATAGGACATGAAATTTTGTAAACTTACTTTAGTCTCTGACTTGTTTAAATGTAACTTTATGTTTTACTTACAACATATTTTTCATAGGTTGACTTATATTTTTTTGGAACACATGAATACATTGAACATTGATTTTTGTAATGTAATGTCACCGTAAAATTAAGTATTTAATATTATATACATTTTGTTGACATGGTACCTGTTACCTATTTTAATTATCAAAATGTTCTCATAATGCTAAGTGAGTAATTATTTCCCCAACTTAATTTTAATAAATAATTGTTATTATATTAATGTAATTGTCTAAGAATTTTATATATTGATATATATGTATTGAGAATTCTTAATTAAGAATATTTCTTATTTTACATTGTATTTGTAACATAATTTCTTGGACTGTCAATAAAGGATATATTTTAACTTATACTGTCTATGTGTATTTCTACAAACTATAAACAAAATAAAAATCCTTCCCCCCACACAAGCAGTTCGTTAAAGACACATCGTTAAAATACAGTGCTCCTTTTACATGTTATATTTTATGTACATGTAAATACAATGTTTTAAATACATAGTAATTAATGTTTACATGGTTTCATGTAAATATTTATTCAGTGTGTATATATAAATAAATATGTAAAAAGTAGATAATGGATAAAAGTATTGTTTAAATCTTCAAAATTCTTGTCTTTCAATACATAAAAAAAACTACTATTCCAAAGTTCTTAGTGATTTCTATTATAAATACTTATTGCATGGTATACAGATCAGGTACATGTATAAACAGTATTATTAACTTTACCAATCAAATTGTTTCTATGACTACTGAATAATTTTAATAAGCTGGTTTTGCAATTGTTAGGGGAGTCTACTCACTTCCACTAGGTATGTGCATGTCGTAGAGAAGGCACAGGGCTTTGACAGATGATTAAAGATCCACTGCTACATGTAAGACAGCAAGTCTGCATGACCTCTACAGCTTGAGGTTACATTTAACTTAAGGTGGCACAACTTACTTTTTATGAAGTTAGTTGCTGGTCCTGACTAAAGCTGAAAGGAGTGGCTCTACAAAGTAGGCAGGGTTCATGCAGAAAGTGTGTTTGGGTGCATGAGCTACTAGCACATAGAGTGTTGGCTTTAAAGGCCGGCCCTTTGCTGGCATAACAGCTCTTTTCAGGGCTACCTCCTTTTCAGATTTAAACCTAAAGGGGTGGCTCTACAAATAGGCAGGGTTGACGAGAAAAGTGTGCTATGATGCATGAGCTTCTAACACAGAGAGTGTGGCTTGAAAGGCAGGCCCTTTGCTGCCTAGGGATTAAACAATGGTCGAGAATAATCGAAAATTGATCGTTTATAGTACCGATCAGCGATGATCGATTACAAAGTTTAATAATCGATTATCGGTAATTTATTTTCTTGCTGTTACTTAAGTGACTCACTGTATTATAACAACACTAAGTTAAAGCTAGTTTTGGTTGAAACAATAAGTTTCATTCAATTGAATATGAAAGTATACTGGTGACCATGGAGTTAATAGTTGACAGTGAGGCATGCTACTTTAAAGGTATACTATGCTCAAATTTGACATTAATTAGAAAATATTTAAAATTGCTACACAGTTTATTTGTAAATATAAAATATATATGTTTTGACTTCACACAAAGAAGATATGTTATGCATAAAATTATTC